CATCGGACTTTAGGTGTCTCGGGGATGTTTTGGACTTGACGGAGATGTGGTGTTGCAGCCCAGTCACTTTTGGTGGATTTTGCGGATGTAATGTGGACCCCTTGCGGATTTATGTGGACGTGGGGGCGGTTAGATGTCAGTAGATCTCCTGGATGTGTCGGATGCTTAATGGATGATCCGTCTCCGGCTGCTCGGGATGAAGTTGACGCGATCAGGATGCCGACTGGAGTAATGCTCGAAATGTGGATTGGCGCGGACTTGCGTGGACGCTAGGTGGATGCAACAGACACGAAATGGACCTAGTTTGATGATATGAGCTCCAAATCACATCCCAGCGACCCGTCAGGGTCCGCCCTTGTGTTCGGTTGAATGGGTAGTATGGGCAGTCTACTAGGCCATATGCACCCCAAATTATGTGCTCTTTTGATGTGTGCAAAGCGTTTTGCAGTCAACGGGCTAGATCTTACAATCGAAGCAAAGTAATAACCCGTGCACCTTGCTCGCGCATGGCTTCACGCGCTTCCGAGGCCGTTCCGCCCCCTGAAAATCCCTTTTGCACGTCTTTTTTGGCAATAGAGTTTCCACCCGCTGGTCGATCATGCTTCCACGCTCGGAAAAGCGCGGCGAGCCTGTGGACAGTACAGGCGGGGGAGCTGTGACCAGAGCCCGACGGTTCACAGTTCGCAAAACCCGTCTCTCTAAAATACCTATTTCTATACAAAAATTTATTTCATTTCCAGACCAGGAAGGCGGCAGTCATTCCCTGCTCAAAGTGAAGCTCACCGTACGAGACATGCAGTACTGCAGAGACAATCTGGTAGGCCTGTTGGGTGGTAAGGGTATAGAAGGTACTATACACTACAAACCTAACTGTCTACCAACTACACACTTACAAATGCGTGCTTGCAAGTACACACTTACAAACGCATGCTTGGCCAAGTACACACTTACAAAAGCATGCTTGCAAATAGACACTTACAACGCATGCTTGACGCCGTATAACTCCATGCGTCAAGCATGCGTTTGTAAGTGTTACTTGCAAGCATGCATTTGTAAGTGTGTACTTGGCCAAGCATGCGTTTGTAAGTGTGAACTTGCAAGCACGCATTTGTAAGTGTGTACTAAGTAGACAGTTAGGTTTGCAGTGTAGCTTCCCCTCCCAGAGCTCCCCACCCCCTTTTTTCCGACTTCTGACGAAAAATTATGTACAATTACATTTTGATTAAATAGATTAAGTTTGGATTACTACTTTAGTTGTCTGCATCAGGCATTAGGTCCAATCAGGTATAATCTCATCAAGCATAATTCTCATCAGATATAACGCATAAATAACAAGGTAGATATACGCCAGACCGCGTCTTGTCGTAACAGTTTTCGCGATGTCTCGCGGCCTGTTCATCCAATCCGCGCCTGACCAGGGGGCGGTAACACCCTAAAGCGGCAGTGAGGCGAAGCTCTCGCTCCTATTTTGTTCCGTGCAGGGGTCACGGACTTCTTCGAGATTATTCAAACTAGGCCATTTTTTGCAAATCGCTTTGCACATATCGAAAGGCTGCATTAGACTCATTGGCAATCCCTTAACTGCTAATTCAGCCCTCAAAAAATCAAAGTGAAAACACCGAAAACTACAATAAGTCTAATAATTAAGGAAAAAACCTCGGGGGCGCCATCTTTGTGTTAACACTTTCGCGATTTTCTCTTTTGTACTAAATAAAATTGGGAGTTTTGGGAAGGTCAATGCGTCTAATGCATCCTAAATTTGATGCCCTATCGATACAAAGCGTTTTGAAAACAATGGCCTAGTTTTAATAATCTCGAAGAAGTCCGTAACCCCTGCACGGAGCGAGAGCTTCGCCTCACTCCTGCTTCGTGGTGTTACCGCCCCCTGGCCTGACGTAAGGGAGGGTGGGGCACCTAGTGACAGGGGCACCTAGTGACACAGGGGTGCCCTGGCCGCCCTATGGCAATTGCAGACATCTTGAGGTGGCTAATCTAAAGGTCTTGTGCTGTGGAATCATGTTCAAGTGAGAGTGAGATTTTGAACAAAATATTTTAGCACCTAGAATAAAACCAAGAAAATAATCACCCAAAATCACAGATTTTATGACTCTTTTACAAATTGTTTTGTCGCCATTCTTCCAGTACATGGCACTGCCGGTCGTTCTGGCACTTTTAATCCATAATAAGTTAATTTCGCTGAGCCAGCTCAAACATATAGTTACACTTCCTTGATATCAAATTTTGAACGAAAAAGAGCCCCCGGGGCAAGTAGTGACAGACACACTCTATTTACCGTATTTCAACGATTTAAACGTTTCAAAACATCGATTTGACAACCGCGAAGTAAATTTGCACCGATTGTGACAGAACGAAACATAACTGAGACTAATTTGTAAGACAATTTCGTAGAACATTGAATTTGATTAGCAGTGTAGTAAAATGTAGTTTCTTGAAAAAAAAAATGGCGCCGTTCTGTTGATTTAGTGATTTCTATTTTGTTGATTTAGTGATTTCTACCGTAGAACGGGGTAATATGAGACAAATTTTGAGGTTTTTTTTGGTGAATTTCCCCCTTCTTATTTTAACTTGAGGTGCTGAGGTGTTCCACACTTGTTCGTTGACCCTTTGGCTACACTCCCTCCAAATTTCAGATTATAAGGTGCAGTGTAGACCGTCCCTTATTTTTTCAAATTGAACCGAGACAAAAGTTCGTGGTGCCAAATTGTTCCTTTTGGTGAAAAAACACCTCTGCCAAAGTTTGGTGGTGCTACGATATCGCATGGCCGAGCCTGAGGGGCCTAAGTGCAAATTTCAAAAATCGGTCGATTTCGGAATTTGAAAGTTGTCTTCCCAGTAAACACGTCATTTTGATGCCCTTAGGGCGAAAATTTCAAGCGTTTTGCCGTATCTCGAACCGTTATGGCCGAAACGGCGCTCTGAACGCGCTCCCCACCGCGGGGAAGGCCGATCTGGACCCAATTACGACGCTTTTGGGCTGCACCGAGCCGCCCCGGGGGGCAGTGGATCGCTGCGTCGCTGTCAGCACCTTCCCAAAACATGTGTTTGACTAATGGCATAGTAATTGGTAGGTTAGATTTCAATACAGACGTGGTAAAGACCAAATTTTACACCAAAACACGCGAAAAATGCTAAAATGGCTAAATTTGACACTTTGAGGGCATATTTCAGCATTTTCCTATTGAGTAATCCCACTAACCACATTGGAATTTTCAGAGATAGTTCAGATACATGTTTTGGGAAGGTGCTGACAGCGACGCAGCGATCCACTGCCCTCCGGGGCGGCTCGGTGCAGCCCAAAAGCGTCGTACTTGGGTCCAGATCGGCCTTCCGCGCGGTGGCGGAGCGCGTTCAGAGCGCTGTTTCGGCCATAACGGTTCGAGATACGGCAAAACGCTTTAAATTTTCGCCCTACGGGCATCAAAATGACGTGTTTACTTGGATGACAACTTTCAAATTCCGAAATCGGCCGATTTTTGAAATTTGCACTTAGGCCCCTCAGGCTCGGCCATGCGATATCGTAGCACCGCCAAACTTTGGCAGAGGTGTTTTCTCACCAAATGGAACAATTTGGCACCACGAACTTTTGTCTCGGTTCAATTTGAAAAAATAAGGGACGGTCTAGTGCAGTAGGGACCTTGCAATAACCCTCGGAATGCCGTCCCATATTTCCCTGCAATGTGGGGTAAAATGAGACAAAAGAGAAAAATGGTATAGAAGTATGGAAAATTAACTCAATTAGGCGGGTTTAGAGTCTTAAAGCTCTTTTCAGTCATTTTAAAGATGATTGGGGACTATAATGAAGAAGAGATAAAATCTAGAGGGAAGAAAAATGGGTGTCACTAAAGAGAGATGAAAAATGTATAAGAAATCATGAGTTGTGCCTGTCACATGAAAATACTAAACGAAGAGCATAAATGCCGATCAGGTAGCAAATCCAATACGTGTTAAAATCATAATTACTTGAAATTGATAACAGTGGAGAATGTTTGGCCTCATGTTTCAAACCAAAAGAGCTGTCTCTATTTTCCCTGCAAGGTAAGAAAATTGTATTCCATCTGGAACAGGCAGCCAGAGAGTACACATAACGGAACCAAATTTTGTCCTGATTATGTTGACATAATAGCCTACAGATTGAAAACTCGTTCGGACGAGAACCCAAGTTCTAACCGAGGTTTCTGGGGAGGTTTTTACTAACTTTATAAAATAAGTGGAAATTAAGAGGTATTTCCTTTGGTTCTAAATAATCCTGGCGAGTCTTTGATAGCCTTCGTGCGTTTCCTGAGAGCTGCCACGGCCTCCTAGATCACGAAAAAAAATCACAGTGGTCTTCTGAACAACCGCTAGAGAGCAACACGACAGAAACCAAAAAAAAGTGCGCTTTGTCTCGATTTTCCTTCATGTCTCAAATTACCCCGTTCTACGGTATACGGTATTTAATGTATGTAGATGTATGTGGATAATGACGAGAGCCGAGTACGCGTGTTCACTGTTAAGCTGGTTTATTGGTACTGAAGGGTTTGGGCAAGACAAAGGAATGACTCATACAGAACAAAAGACTGGCTGGTGACAAACTGTTGACAAGTGAGTGACGGGTTGACAAAAGACTAATTGGCGCGTAATTCAAACAAAGGGTTCTAACACTTCCCCCTGAAAGTCTTGAAAGAAAAAAACATTTTTGACCTTGACAGTGAATTTTACATGATAAAAACGCTTGAGAATACATAAGTATAAAAGAATACAAAAATTTGCCTGAAAGCAAAAAAAAACAAAACACGAATACAATGTTATAGACACTGGCACCTCCTTGTATTACAGGGTGGTTTAAGGGGGCTCGTAGTACATGTTAAAAGAACTTAGTAAAAAAAATTTTTTGATGTAGACGGATTAGGATTTTACAATTTCTGTGTTAAAACCCTTTTAGATTATTGAGTAAGCTTCATTTTGGCTTAAAAGAAAGTGACTTTGGACATTTTTTGGAGATTTAGTCGAAACGTTTAAAATTTTGGTTCTCGTAAGATTTTGTTCGCATACTTGCTCAGATCTGTGAGGAAAAAATCAGGGAGACTCATTCATGGAATGTGTTCTGACATTTCATTATTATTTATGAAATTTCATGGCCGCTATGAAATTGAATGGCGTTCATGAATTTTCAATGCATATATTGTAATGAAAATTCATAACCTTTTTAACAGTGTTACCCGGTGTTACCTATAGACTATTGTACTCGCGCCGCTCGCTGGGGGCACCGCCCCCAGACTCCCGCATCAGGGATCCTTAACTTACCTCATAAGGGCATCATAACGTTATCATAAGAGTTAGTTATTACCCTTAACTTCTAACATCTTTTCAAAAGGGTTTGTTATTTTTTTATGTCTCGAATTTGTGTGGATATACTTTTGCGAGTACTTTCATAAGTCCGTACCCTTAACCTATAGCGAACATTGTCTTATGTTACGTTATGACAGCAGTGTTCGTTAAATGTTGAGTTAAGTTAAGGATCCCTGCCCCGCATGTGTGGGGCGCGTACCGAAGTATTTTAAGTAAGTCCGTGGTGACCAGAGACAAACTTCTAAGAAAGTAAATGTACTGCTTTTTTGAGGGGGTCTATTTAACTGCTTTTGACCATATATTTAATCTACTTTTGCTGCCAAAATAGATAGCTTGTATTGCATTGGCTACTGTGGCAGACAATGGGTGCATACAAGGTCCGGAAGATATTAAAGACTGCTTTGACAAAAATAAGATCTGTGTTCATGCTGGTCAATGTGACCGAAGGCCAAACTAATGGGCCTCTTCTGCGTTTTTAATTTCTGATTTCTGTAGCCTTTTCCGGCCAGGTTTAAGACGCAATGTATTTCATCGTTTTTACCCCATTGCTGGTGTCGGGGACCCGATTGCGGCACAGTTTCTGAAATGCCTCACCCAGACCTACCGATGGGGCGAATAAAAACTTTAAGTCGGTCAGTCTCCTTTTTTGAAGATTAAGTAGGTTTGCTCGGAAACGGTTGCATTTTGTTCAATTTAGGCTTTATCGTTTTGAGGATGTTGCCGGTGACGGGGGCCCGATTGCGGCACAGTTTCGGAAATGTCTCGACCAGACCTACCGATAGGGCAATAAAATTTTTTAGTCGGTCGGTCCCCTTTTTTGAAGATTGAGTGGTTTTTTGTTGAATTTAGGCCTATTTAATCGTTTTGAGGATGTTGCCGGTGGTGGGTACCCGATTGCGGCACAGTTTCGGAAATGTCTCGACCAGACCTACCGATGGGGCAAATAAAAAATTTTAGTCGCTTGGTCCCCTTTTTTGAAGATTGAGTAGGTTTGCTCGAAAACGGTTGCATTTTGTTCAATTTAGGCTTATTTTTTATCGTTTTGAGGATGTTTCCGGTGACGGGGTCCCGATTGCGGCACACTTTTGGAACTGTCTCGACCACACCTACCGATAGGGCTAATAAAAATTTTCAGTCGGTCGGTCCCTTTTTTGAAGATTCAGTGGATTTTGTTGGCGAGCGATAGCGAGCCCATGCCGTGTTTGGGGGCACCAAAAAGTGACTGGTCGTGCGTCTGTCTGTCTGTCTGTGTGTCTGTAACTCACTCACGTTTCTTTAGCAACTACCGCACAAATAGTTTCAAAAATTTTGCACCGGAAGGCTCCTAAATCTCCCCCAGGGGGAGTTTATCTTATATTCACGATTACTATTGTTTGAAATATTCAAAACATCCTTTTTGAATTAGGTTCTTAGCGTGGTTAGGTTGGCAACGCTTGGCAGCTCGTAGTAATTTTTCATACTTGCGGCCGCGACTCTCAAATACGGGACCTGGCAAAACATTGGCAAATAAAACAAACTAAAGAGCAGAAGGGCTTAGAAGTGTGTACGGTCGTAGTTTTTCGATATTTTAGAATGATTGAAACCCCTCCGAAGTGTCAACTCAGTGAAATACGGAAAAATAAAAATGACAATTATAACGCGTTTCGTCCGTCCGTCCGCCCCCCCCCCCCCCCCGCTAACCGCTACAGGGCAAATGTTTTAGTAAGTGGAGTGTGTTTGATAATTGCAAGAATGATTTTGGGCTTTTTTAAACCCTTTTTGAGTGTTTTCCCTTTTTATTCTCAGACACATATTTTTTAGTTGTTTTTCTTTGCTCAATGACAGTTAGAAAATATATCTACATTCTGCAAAGTACAAACCAGATACTAATCTTGCCAAAATTAATAGTCTTTGGTAACTCTCGGCACTGATTCTGTGAAAGGGCTTCATTGCAATGCTGTGAGTTTACTATGGTACTAACCCTAAAGATAACCGTATGGTGAGTGAGTGTAGCGCTTCAAGGTTTGACATTGACATCAGATTCAATGAGACGATTCACTGACTTGGTCATATGATTTCATGAGCCGATTCTTTTAAATTAAGCATATATTTGGTGCGACAACTGGTAATTTGTGTTGGTCAAAGGGTTTTAGTTGGCTCTCTTTTTAAAATTTTCTCAGAATGTTAGGTAAATACTTTTTCTAAACTGTTTTTAAAATTAAATAACACCCTCATGACAATCATTCTGAATAAGATTAACTTGCGTTTAGCAATAAGTGGCCTCGACATTGGATTCTATGGAACGATACATTGGATCTGACAGAAGGTCTTCTCCGTAAAGTAGTTGCTATCAGCCTGCCTGTAAATATGTCTCTTTTTAATTAATGCAGATAAATCAATATAGTTTAATCCACTAGTTTAAAATAAAAGAGAGAAAGGCTTTTTTGGTATTTCTAATAACATTGCGTATTCATAAGTTCAGTAAAAAGGAGATATCGAATGGTAATTGAAGCATTTGTGAATCGTATAAAGCAATTCAATGCTGGCTGTTAAATGTTACTCGACTGAGTTACTCGACTGAGTTACTCGACTGAGTAACAGGGTCAGGGTTCATGGCATGACACCATGAACAGGAAACACTCTTAAAAAAACTAACAACTGAAGACCCATACTTTCAACTAGAATTACATGATTTAGGACCAAAATTTCCTCGATGTTTCATTGCTTCTAGCAGTATTTGGTGTGCTGATCACAAAATTGACTTCCGATTTCATCCCAGACCTTTACTTTTCCAAATATTTACCAATTTCGGACCAAAATTTTTACATTGAGTTTTACATAGTTTCCTGTAGTTTTTGGTGTGCTGATCACGAAAAAGACTTCTAATTCCATCCCAGACCTTTAATTTTCCAAATATTTACCAATTTCGGACCAAAATTTTTACATCGAGTTTTACATAGTTTCCTGCAGTTTTTGGTGTCTTTCTTCGAGGAGACTAAAATTTGATTTTTGAAGGCACATCCCAGGCTCTGAACCCAGTCGAAGAGTCTTTTTGAGCCCATTTTGGCTGTATCTTTAAAAATCTCCTTGCGCATACTTTTTTGTCGTAAAAGGTTGACCTTGACATTTTTCACTTCTTCGATTCCTTTTCAAAACATTCCAGCATGCATAGCTCAAAATCTCTATTATATTTTTAACTGTAAGCTGTTTAAGCTGAAAAGTCCCTAAAATTTGTCTATTTTAAACATTTTTGATCAATTATAGTGAAATGATTGGTTAGAAAGCTTGCGAATGAAAACGTAATTTACATTTTGAGTTGTGCATCTCGGCATGAATCGAAGAAGTGAAAAATGCCAAGGCCAACCTTATACGACAAACTAGTATGCGCAAGAAGATTTTTAAAGTTATAACCTACATAGGAGTATCCTGTATTTTCTTTGATTGGAGGGATTGAGGTAAATACTCCATTAGTTTATTTCATGGCCAGCTGCAAAAATTCTGAATCAAGAGAGGAGAGGCCTGAGATGTTGCCTAATGAGAGTTCTGAAAGTAATCGTTGCTTCTTCAATTGTGGGACCCAAGCGTTAAGGTCAAACAAGAGACGGAACCCTCAGAGTTTTAATTTAGCCCAAAACAGTTAAAAAAAAAAACAAATTTCAATGTTCCTGATTTTTTTCTCCATTCCTGTATGGGGCCCTCAATGGGGGAATGCAGGCTCTTGTACACTAATAGAGGAAGCTACAAAAAATTTTTTCAGCCAAATCCATGATGACGTCTTTTTTTATATCTGCACTTTTTTATATTTTGTCGTAAAAATTTGGTTAAAATGGTTGACCAAAACTACAAAAAACTTTCAAAAAATCTAAAAATTTGTTTTTAGTGTCTACTAGTAAGGAAGAGTCACCAGAAAAATTTTGGCCGATTCTGACAACCTTTGTCTCAAGGCCTGTTATTCTGTCATGGAATGCACCAGGTGCGCCAGGCGCGGATTGGAGAAACAAGCAGTGAGACATCGCGAAGCCTGTAACGACAAGACGTGGTCTGGCGTAAACCTACCTTGTTTCAGAAAGGTGTTTTGCCAGCCGTGGATTGGCGGAACTGCACACTAAATATGGGGTGCCCAGCAACTGGTCGCCTTTGCCGCCCGCCCCACTTTTTAGGGTGCCAAACGTCGCCCAGTTCCTGGGCACCTTTGTCACCCAGTCTCGGGTGGACAAACCATTAAGAAACCTGCCTTCACCCATGGCTCAGCAGCGACTGAGGTGCCGAAGGTGCCCAGAATCTAGGCACCTTAGTCGCCCACGATCTAGACACCTGAGGATGCTCTACCAGGGGAGAGGGCCGCCCCGATACTGGTCGACAAAGGTGCCCAGAAACTGGGCGACATTTGGCACCCTAAAAAGTGGGGCGGGCGACAAAGGCGACCAGTTGCTGGGCACCCCATATTTAGAGTGTGGCTGTGCACCGCGAAGCCTGTCACGGCAAGACACGGTCTAGCGTACACCTACCTTGAAATCCTCAATCACGATTGCATTAATTTTTTCTTCCAGGCAAGCAGCCTGAAGGTGCATGCTGAAATGCTGCCACGCGGCCTCTTGGACGCCACTCAGCTGTGCGCGGGTGGAGGGAGGCACAACAGGGATACCTGCCAGGTGAGAGCGTCCGCACAAGCACAAGCACACTTAAATGTGCCGAACGTCATCGTTCATTTGGAACCTTTCGTTTTCTGCCATATAGGGTGACTCTGGCGGCCCGCTCCAGGTGAAAGCGAATCCCGCAGGTTTGCCGTGCATTCACCGCATCATTGGGGTCGTGTCGTTCGGGCAGATTTGTGGGCTGGGCTACCCGGGCGTCTACACGAGGTAGGTGGGAGCCTGAGGGAGACCCACTGGGTCGTCTCCTAAAATCCTATGTAAAAGCCACTTGTTGCTGGTCAAAGGTTATACTTTTTGGTAAATGAGACTTGATATGATATTTTATCTTTGAAGTAAAGATACAGTAAAGCATAATTATAGACCTGATATTATGTTTAAATTGAAATAGCAGCCAGCTTAACCCAACGACCAACAACAGTCGTCGCGGAAAATGTCTCTGGCTGTGACCAATGACCCATTCACTCATCCGAGGGGGGTAACAACTGGTTAATTTCGTGTCGGCCGGATTACGGATTACCCCGGATCACCCCCAAATTACCTCCGGATTACAACAAAAATTCCTGGATTACCTTTGGATTAGGCAGGATTGCCCCGGATTACCTCAAAATTTCGGGTTATCCGGATTACGGATTACCAATTTGCTGTCAGCCGGATTCCAGAAGTCGTTACCCCCTCGACTCATCACTCAAAACCTAAATCACCTCATTAAATCTCAATCGTGCCTCAAGGTAGGTTTACGCCAAACCGCGTCTTCTCTGAACAGGCTTCACGATGTCTCGCTGCCTGTTCCTCCAATCCACGCCTGGCGTACCGTAAACCGGGGTAACTTCAGACAGCAAGGGTAACTTGAGGCACTTCTGCACTATCTTTTCGGAGCTGCTACCTCACTGAAAAATAACAGGAAAAGTAGCGATATTCATCGGCAACTTTGGCCCGTCCCGTACATTAAGAAACGTACAAATTTCGCCTTTGTTTGACCCTGACGGGAATTAAACCTGAGTCTGGGGTTAAAATAAATGAAGTTTTCGTCATCAGCACCCTCAAAAACATCAGAAACAATTCAAAAACTCAAATAAAAAGAATGTTCAAAATATACCCCGCTGGGATTTGAACCCGGGTCCGAACTTCTCCGATTCGCTCGAAACTGGCACCATTGTTTTTTTCTCGTCGCCCCGATTCCAAAAATACCCCTACATGCCCTTCTAGCTGCATCCGTTGCCGAGATCCTCCTCGACCCCATGAAGACCATGATGCACCTGCAGCAGCGCCCCCGGGGCTCGGATCGGATTTGCTGCCACCGGGCGGTTCTTAGGGTCACCCAAGGAGGCTGAATACCAAATTTGGTCAAGATCGGACCACGGGAAGTCCTCGGACGGACGAACGGACGAACGGACGAACGGACGGACGGACGCACAGCAAGGATCATACTATATGCCCGTCCCTCCGTCATTTTTTTACAAAAAATAAACGGGACGGGCCAAAAATATCGTGAATTCACGAAATATTACTACACGATATGTTTCATAAAAAAAAGGTTATTGTTTTGTCAATTTACAAAATGTATCGCAATTATACAAAATCATTACAAAATGTATCGTAATTCTACAAAATCACTTCGTAAAGAGAGGGAAATTTTCCCAAATTGGCGAATTTACAGACAATATCACTACGAAATGTTAAGTTCAGTGAGGCTTTACAAAATATTGTCCAAAAACAACGAAATTTTTTTTGGGTAATTTTCTTTTGCGAAGTTGTCGTTTATAAATGAAAACATTTCGTAAACTTTTTGAACTGAAACAGTTGTTGTTACGAAGAAAAAAAAAATTTTGGAAGAATTTTTACAGCACGCTTGTTGAAGCTGAAAACCTTGATAATGGGCCGAAAACATTTCGAAAATATACGGCATGTGTCGTATATAAACGACATTTTTGTAAAATTACGAACAGTTCGTAAAAGAAAAGAGTTGCTGCTGACAGACATAACTTTTGAGCCACATAACTGTAAATCGACATAACTGGTGACAGAAATAACGCGTTTATTTCTGAAATTTAAAAGCATTTACTATTGAAATTAAAATGATAATTGCTACAGACATAACTTCTTACAGAAATAACCAAATCGCTCATTCACATAACTGTTGTCAGACATAACATTTGACAGGCATAATATTTGATAGACATAACCGTCGAGAGACATAACCGTCCAGGTGCGGGGCACTCGCCCGCATGGACGTCCGCGAGGCAGCCGTGCCAGAGGCGGCCGCGGAAGGGGTGGTCGCGGCAGGGGTGCTGGGGATGTTCTACCCGTTTCATCTAGGGTAGGAGAACGAAGTGAACGAGAGCTGCCGGAAGGCAGCTCTATTCTTGACTAAGCTCCGTTTTTCTACTACCTTTCTCCATTTCTAAAAGAAATTCATAAATATATGGCTTAATGCAAGAATCTAAAAGTTATTTCTGAATAAAGTTATGGGTATTTAAAGTTATGTGTGATTACAGTTTTTCAACCATAATTAATCCTGTTTTATGTCTGACACCAGTTATTTCTGCAGCCGGATATGTCTTTCAACAATTATGTGGATAAACGGTTATGTTGGTTTAAAGTTATGTCTAAAGCAGAACTCCCAAAGAAAATTACCCAAAAAATTTTCGTTATTTTACGAGAAATTTTTTTACAGTGCTGGCTCGGCACATTCGGAGGTCAAAACTGCCCTAGCACTTTTTTCGCACTTGTAAGGAAAGACGATTAAGCGTTTGAACGGCGGGTTAGGACCAAGCTGGTCAGTTCTATAACGATTTTTCAATTTTAGCAAATTTAACAATTTTAGAGAAGTGTTACAAGTCTCCCTTGGTACCCGAAACACGTCTTGTTGAGACCCAAATGACATCTTTTAACCCTATCATTTCAACATTCTAAATGGGGCTATTCTTTGTGAGACCATCGAACCCCTAAAATGACCCAACTCAGATTCCAAATTTTTTTGGTCTTGGGTGATGGGGAGTCCCCCATTGGGGACCGACCCCCTGAGCACCCATGCCAAAGGGTTTTCAAAAATATCAAGCGGTTTGGATTCCACAGCCATTTTAGTTTTTAGGTTTTCGAAATATGTTAATTTGACGTAAAAGTGGTGATTTTGTTTTTGGGGAGTCCGATGATGGTTTTTGCCTATCGTTTCCTTTCAGATGAGTCAAAAGAAGAATTTAAGTGGGTTTTGGACCCTCTCGCTACTATGTCAGGTTTGCATAGTTATTCAAATTTAGCAAAATTTAGAGAAATAACTGAAATTTTGCTCTACTGAAAATACGTTGTCATCGATTTGGACCGTTCCCTGGTCAAAGGAGGGTGTTTATGGGTCGAACAAACTCCAAGAATAAAATGGTGGGTTTTCGCGCTCCTTGACTTTAATAAGGCCAAAAACTGTATTTTTCACACTGTAAAATTTCACTGAAATAGCCGATATTTTATCCTGTCCTCCTCATCCGCCTCGTATGAGGTTTGTATGGTCCAAATGCCCAGGAATGCAAATAATTTAGATAAAAGAGGTGCTCCAACACCATCTTTGAAGATACAAATCAATTTTATGGAAGGTTTTATGGTTAAAAAATACTCATACACAACACTAGATTAACAAGTTGATAATACACCTTCATGTTCTATTCAAACTGCTAATTAGGTGTTGGAGCACCTCTCTTATCCAAATTATTATTACTGCAATTACTGCAAATTTAATTACCTTTCCAACGAGCTTAATGTCATTGAAATCAGACAACTTCTAGCCCAAGAACCGTCGATTTTCTGAAGAAAAACAACTATAAAAATAGCTAAAGGATTTTGAGTAAATTTTAAAAATTGACTAAGACTACATATCTTTGCAGGAATGGACTTGTGTACGTAGAAATAAAGAAAAATGTCTTAAGGGGGGACATCACTCTAAACACAGTGCTTTTGTAAAAACGTCAGAAAAACCGAACCGAAAGAGAAAAAAATGTTCATTTAACAGATAAAATATAAAACAACACAAAGCCAATCTGCCAGGGCAGTACAGCGCTTTCGTTGAAAACACATTTAAGAAGGTAAGGTTAGACCATTTCGCACTGTTGCGGCGCTGGTAGACAAACGGTTTGACCTAGAACAACGAAATTTGGTGACAGCCTTCCTAAGATGTCTGGCTATGGTGGGTACCTCAATCGCATTAAAAAAATCATTTTAAGTTGTATTTGTTACATACCAAAAAGTATTGTTTAGTTTTTTTGGTCAAAATTATTCAATTTTGAACGTTGAAAAAATAATAAAAATTGAGCAATGCAAATTATTTTGCTACCCACCAAAGCGGCATGTCGTAGGAGCTTCCATGCTAAATCTCCCCGCTGTAGCTCGAAAACTGCGCCCTAGAGGCCTGCAACCGTTTGCAATTTCATGTTCCGAGAAAAACGCGATCAAAGTTGGGGAAACTTGGCTTTTCCCCTATACATGTTTGCGGCCCACCACCTCCTAAAACTGCAATTTTTTGAATTTCGGAATGCGGTTTTCACCATTCGACGCAGAAAAGAATGGTCTATAACATAGACTAATTAAACAAGCTAGGGCCCGCCCTTCCGTCGAACCGAGCTGCCAGCTCCGCTTCGCTGCGCCGGTACGGCAACTCGGTTCGACAGGGGGCCGGCCCAACTTGGCCTGCCGGCGGCCTTTTCTCGGGCCTTCGGCCCTCGCATCAGACCCAACTTGGCCAGTCGAAGGCCCGGGCCTTCGGCCCGCTCGCATCACAGACACCGTGAGCGGGTAAAGCAAAGTTATCGATGTACCATCGTGACTCAGGCCCGCCCTTCTATTCACAATATGCAATAGTCCTTACACTTTTTACTCCAACTGTCCTTAGAATATGCCCATTTCATTTGTCACTTCGCCCTCATTCCGAAAATACCCATATTTGCCATGCTACTGCAACTCCTTGCAATAGAGGCACAGCAGGAGCGCAAAACGAGTCCGTCGCACTTTTTCCCATAACTCATGAAGGCGGGCTCCTGGACCCCCCTTCCGACCCCTCGTTGAAGAGGTCTTGCCAAGACCTATCCAAAACTTGAGTAAAAATTTTCAGTCGGTCGACCCCCTTTTTTCAAGATCCTGATGTGACTAATAGACGAAGTCGGGCTCCTGGACCCCCTTTCCGACCCCTCGTTGAAAAGGTCTTGCTGAGACCAATCGAAATCTGC